ATTGTTATCTTTTGGGTTTAAGTTAATCGATGGTCAAAATCGCATTGATTTCTAAGTTAACAATCGCATTGGCTATAATATTAGTGAAAATAGCTTGAGTTTTGGAAAGAGTGAAGCAAATGGCGACCGTTTTATACTGTGTCACTACTTATGACTCACCCCTTAGTGCAAGAATTTTCAAAATCTTGAAGAACTTAATTTTTGGTGAAGATGTAAACGAGCAAAAACAGTTTTCTTTTACTCTTTGAGGGGGTGTGATAAGGTCAAATGGAGGCATTGAGGGAAACCCTATTTCACTTTTTCTATCCTCCCCAAGTACAACATATGCGAAGGGCATCGAAATCGGAGATCAGAATTTAAAATCTGCAATTCCGACTGAGTTCTTTTGTTTTTATGCTTTATGTTTTTATGGAGTGAAAATTGATTATGAGTGACAGTAACCAAGACTGGAATTTCGAGGGACACGAAAAATTTTTTTTAAGACTTGTACAATTTATAGAACTGATTTTTTAGGGAATAACGGTGAAAATAATTTGGTGTGACTCCGCCCCTTACCTTGAACTTAAGCTTACACTTTATTAAGTAGCTTCAGCTACTTCATGCGAAGACTTTGTCCGTCTGTCTGTCTGTCTGTCTGTCCGTCAGCAGGATAACGAGAGAACGGATCACGATAATCGAAATCGGTTTGCGGCATCATACATATGACCCCAGGGGGAGGATCCTATCAACTTTTGGGTGCAACCGGACCACACCCCCGGGCGCCAGGGGGTGTGGTCGGGGCAAAATGAGATTTTTAGTGCAATTGAATCCATGGATGAAATAGAGTGAAATTTTGTATTCCCCCGTTGTGCCACACCCCCTGGGCGCCAGGGGGTGTGGGTGGGGGAAAATGAGATTTTACTAAAAAATGAATCAAATCAATCTATGGATGAAATACAGTGAAATTAAGTGTTCCCGCGATGTCGTGGGAGTGGTTAGGGTGAAGTGAGTCTGAAGCTACTTCCTTATGTGCGTTTACGACGGTTTATTTTAGTATCAAGCCACCCATAGTTTTCGAGTACAGAGACGAGAACGTTTTGTAAAAAACTGGCTCCAATAGCTTTGAATCTGTTCCATGTTCTCAATTTCTGGCGAGGAATTGTTTATGTACAGTTGAAATGTAATTAATTCCATCAGGTCACCCATGGTGACTATAATTTAAGGTAGTGAATTAATTTAACAACTTTAAACAAATACCAAAATTTTCGTACTGCAAAATTGGAGTATGGTATTGAATAGAATGAAAATTTGTTGAAGTCGGTGCCTATCTAGGAGCTGACTCGGATGGATAAGAGCTGTATTATCTTATCGTTATCCAGGCTTGCCAACTCATGTATTATATAGGATCAGCGGGCGGAGTTTGTCCGTCCATCTGTAAGCAGAATAACACTATTTTTAGAAGGAATTTATATTTCATGCTGCATGAAATCATGCATCTATTTTCCGATGGTAACATGCAATTTTTAGACAGGAAAGATTTCGAAGGTGTGGTAAATTTGGCCACACGCATTTAGCGCCTTGGGGTGTGGTCAAATACTTTTTCGACTTGTTTAGATTTTTTTACTTTGATTCAGAATATTAATTGCTAATGATGTCGTAGTTCATTAAAACTTACCTGTCACACCCTCCAATGTCAAGGGTGAGATAATTCCGAAAACGATAATCTGAAAATAATATTTTTTCATCATACAGAGTCGAGACAATGCCTATTGCGAAACTAGGGGATTGGTTAATGACGAGACGAATTTATTGCAGAAATTGATTCTGTTTATGAATTATGTCAACCGAATCAATATTTTTGCTATATAGCAAAGAATAAAATTCCAGTGTTGTCGGGATTGTGTTTGGGGCAAAGTTAGACATTAATAAATTCAATCGTGCTTCTGAAATATAACCAAATTCAATGAGTACGCGGTGCATTTGTTCATCCAACTGAAGCTACTTCCGCACGTGCGTTTTGGTGCGGTTTATTACATATACATTACATATGCCTATATTGAAAGGTTTTATTTGCGAAGCACTGATTAAGTAGTTCTCGTGGCAATCTGGGCATGACTTGTATCTAACGATAAGTGTCTAAAGCTAAGCATGTCAACCTTACTTTTTGAAATTTTAACCAAACCATTTTTTATCAAAACTATTGGATTTTGGATCCCAAATTAACGCAGTATATGTTGTCAAGTTTATTATGCCAAAGATTATTTTGCAAACTAATTATTAGTCAAAAAAAGTATGAAACGCTTTGACTTGAGTGTGCCCAATTCTGTTTGAAGCATTATTTTCACGTACATATGCCGTACCTGTATTTTTATATACTGTAGTACATACTAACAAGGTAAGCTTATCTTGTTATTGGGAACGAGATATTTGTTATCGATAATGTCGGTGGTGCAAAGTAATTGCTTAGCTAAACTGCAGTGGTTATGGGTTGTATAATTATTTTGAGGCAGGTTGATATTTATTTATTGCCATCTCACTTAAATAAACCCACCGAGGCAATTCGAGGTTTTTATTAATCTACATAGTGAAAGACAGCGTATTCTTATGCATTTTTTGGCTGGTTTGATGTGGGGTGTACTTTGTCAGTCGGCATATGCGACCAAAATTAGTGCATATGCCGTTAAACGTTGATCAGCTTAAATAAATACATACAAATATTGATACATATGTACTTCTATATTGTAAACTTCTTTCATATTGAAATTTCCAGAAGTTTTTTTTCTCCACGTCTTTAGTAAAATCGTTAAGAGAATGTATGAATAATAATTCAAATGTCAGCGTGGCTGCATTTTCCCCGAACGGGGAAAACGATCCGGTATTGGATCGAGCCCTTTTGCGCTGACCACCTTACAATAATGATCTCTTCCACTTTCACAAGTCCCAGTAGGAGTAACATTCTTTCCCACCGTGTAGATAAATAAGATCATCGCATGAAATCTATCCATCATTTAGAGCCAACAGTGCTAATACATACATACACCAATCGCATCCCAATATAATTAATGATTATGTAAATTATTTTATAAATCTTACTTATATACAAATGAATGGACAACGCTTGACTATTGCCTCAAGCATATTCACATTTTCCATGGTTCTGTATGAGGCAGATAGCGAAAATAAAACATTGACTGCGATTATGCAGAAAAAGGAGCAGGTCGTTCCGCTCCTCCTCAAAAAACACACACTCCACATATGTAAAGTGATTGTCCGTCTCAGTTTCACGAAAAAAGTCTCAAATTTCTCAAATTGAATTTCTTTTCTCCCATAATTCTCGCCAGTTCACGAGGTGTGGCGGATGAGCCGTTTTGACCCGCCCACTCTTCCAATAACGATTTGAAGTATTTGTAAGGATCCAAACTCCCAGACGTAAATCCCAATTCTAATTGTTCCTGCCATCCTCTTGGTACCCTAAGGCAGTCGGCAAATTCGCATCTTCGTCGTGTAACATAGCCGTCCTCAACAAGGTGCGAGACAAAGTCGGAAATAATGAGTGGATTCATTCTGCAATGCACTTGTTCTTTACTTGCTTTAATGATGTTATGTTTGAAAGCAAACTTATGTAATGCAAGACTTGAGAGATGTGCAGCTAGCAAGTTGAATGGAGCGTATGATGTGAAGGAAATAATTGACGATGACGATTAATGTTTGTATTCAATTCTGGGTTCAATTCAACGTTATTTTGATAAGCCCCAATGAGGGGAATATGATAGCTTTGGTCGCGCCATATCGTGATCGAGATAATACTTCTACGGTAGAATTATTATCACCATCGAGATAATACTTCTACCGTAGAAGTATTATCTCGATGGTGATAATAATTCCCGCGTCGAATTATTATTACCATCGAGATAATAATTCTACGGTCGAATTATTATCACCATCGAGATAATAATTCTACGGTCGAATTATTATCACCATCGAGATAATAATTTTACTACTTTGTCGGTCAGCAGTTCTACTTTTCTACTGTTCTACAGTTCTACTTTGTCGGTCAGCAGTCGGCCTACGTGGCAAAAATTGGTGGATATTTTTAGGTTTTCAAGCAAGTTGAGCTGTCAAAAGTTAATAAACGCATATAAATAAATAGGTATGTACATATATCTCTCTCATTTCTTTTACTCTGTAATTTCCAGAAGTTTTTTCTCCACGGTTTTAATAACATGAATGGATAGCGCTAGATTACTGCCTCAGCAACACGAGTAAATAAATGTGAGTAAATAAATGCCGAGCTTGTTGAAGTGTTGCTGGGCGTTGAATCATCAGCAACAATTCCACATTTTGCATGGGATGGTTTTGTTTGAGGCAGATAAATAGCAAATATGTATAAAACATTGACTTCAATTAGTAACAGAGCAGGTTGTTCCACTACTTATCAAAAAAGCACACACGGCACATATTCCAATTGTCCGTCTCACTTACATACCTCTCCATGCCAAAAGTCTCAAATTTCTCTCACACCTGTGATACATTAATACATCTACATATTTATGTAGGCACGAGTCCTGCCATTTACTGCATCTGAACAAGGGGCTCACTTGGTATTTATTTATTTCGTCTCTTAATTCTTAGGGAACTTCGATTGCAGACTTATATATTTCGATCATGATTGATGCGTTTATGTATTAAAATAAAAGGTGAATCCAACATAGTTTATAACACGTATATATGCAAACTAAAATGTATTTGTGATACAGGCAAATTTCAAAAGGTCGTTTAGTTTTTAGTAAAGAAGTTTCAGAATAAACCCAAATACAAAGCAGTCTACTTGGATGTTATATATTTAATCCGTTTATGCACTGTGCAAACGATAATCTGCATTATCCTCGTAGTCTCATCTTGCCTCACAATGGCCATCATGAAAGAAGCTAACAATTTTTTTCAGAAAATTGTATTTTCTTATCTATTTATAAGTTTATATAATTTGTTATAGACATTGAGTAATATATGTATTATTTTTAGAGCATTTTTAATCGTAGGTTTATTAGCAAGTAAGTTGTTCTCGACGAAGATTTACAAAAAATCAAAGCTTACAAAATTTTTAATATTTTACAGTGAGCAAAAATAGCCGATTGATAAACTGCCACAACCCTCAGGTTAAAGGTCTTGTATGTATTTCCAGTATACGTTCTAAAAATTAAAATATCAATTTTAATATATACATACATACGTGACTTTGTAGTATTTGATGAGGTATACACATAAATGAGTAATTAATTTATCCTTAGAAGCTTTTTAACTTTAGTCTACGCAATTCACCCAATTTTAATTAAGCGGGAAAATTGAGACTCGTAGCTATTACGGAAAAGGGAAATAACTTGGATTGACACTTAATGATTATGTTAAACTAAATCTTCCCATCAAAACCAACGAGAAAATTGGGGAATTTTTCCGTATCGTGACCAACTGACAAGTTTCATGGGAAATTGATCTATTTCCAAAATTAGATTAAAACCCATCTTGTTAATTGCCACTAAAATTGTCTTACCTGCAAAAGCATTGAACTGCCTTTCACGCATAATTTTCGCCAGCTCTTCCAGAGTCGCGGATGGCCCTTTCTTGCCCACCCACTCCTCCAACAACTCGTAAAAATATTCGTAAGGGGTGTAACTTCCCGACTGGAATAGGTCTCCTAATTGAACCCTCCTACCCCCACTAACTTCGAGACAGTCGGCAATTTCTGATCTTCGTCGTGTAAGATAGCTGTCGCTCGCTAGGTGGGACGCTAAATTGGAAATAGTTCCTGGATTCATTTCGCCCCCAAAGTGTGGTGTTAAGGTGGTAGTAGCTGGATGTAGATTGATATTTTTGTGTAGTTCCTTCTCTGTTTATATACGCACGATTTTACCTGACAAGCCGCAAGGACAGATTGGCCTCATCAATCTTATCTCACCGTGAGTAAATAAATGCCGAGCTTGTTGAAGTGTTGCTGGGCGTTAATGCATTGCATTGCTAGTCAATACATTATTATGACGAAGAGGTGACTTACAAACGACTGGCGTGGACTATTTGATCATTCCATCTGGCCTTCCACTTGGCATTCCATATCTTATCCTATACTATCTACTACTATCTATACTATCTTATAGCTAACAGTCTAGGCCCCGTGTGTGACCGACACAAGCACCTCGTATGCAATGATTACGTATGGGGGATCTGCGTGTATGGACTGAGCACCACGGGTGCTCGCAGAGACAACCAAAAATGATGATGATGATTATGGCACGAATCTTTTGAATCTACTCCGGCACGTGTAAACAACTTGTCAATAAGACTTATATTTTCGAGAGATATCTTACAACATTAGAAACAAAAACTGGTTAACTTTCATTACGTCATAAATTACTGTCCATTTGTAAAGATAAATTTAAAATTTAACACTTATTTTCACACTACAATCCTGAACGGCTGAATACAGAAAATCCACCTCCAACTTCATAAAAGTTATTCATTCAAAATTAAACTATATTTGGTGATAAGACTAAAATTAAAGGAATTAGTTTGTGTTTGTGTTTTTGTTGGAAATTTGATTGCTGGACAAATTAAATAAAGTAAGTACATACATACATATCTTTATATTAAAGCGTATGCATTCTGAAAAAATATGTACTATAAAAATTTGATGATGACATGTAAAAAAAATTGAAATTCTTAAAATCGAAACGAGTCACGTCGATTTTTCTAAAAAAGGGCCATTCAGTAAGTACGTCGACAAATTGAATATTGAGGGAATTAAGATTTTTGGTGAATTTTATAATTGCATTATGTCGTAAATTATTAATATGCAATTTTAATGACCATATTTATAAAAAATTGAAATTCTTAAAATCAAAACGGGTCACGCCAATTTTTCTAAAAAAATGGTCATTCATTATGTACCTCGACAAATTGAATATTGAGGGAATGTAGGTTTTTGGTGAATTTTCTAATTGCATTATGTCGTAAATCATTAATATGCAATTTTAATGACCATATTTATAAAAAATTGACATTCTTAAAATCAAAACGGGTCACGCCAATTTTTCTAAAAAAATGGTCATTCATTATGTACGTCGACAAATTGAATATTGAGGGAATGTAGGTTTTTGGTGAATTTTTTAATTGAATTATGTCGAAAATTATTAATATGCAATTTTAATGATTATATTTATAAAAAATTGAAATTCTTAAAACCGAAACGAGTCACGTCAATTTTTCTAAAATATATGGCCATTCATTACTTACGTAAAAACAATTAATATTGGGGAAATTGAGATTTTATGGTAATTGAATAGTTGTTAATAAAATAATCAAGTGCCGTAAATTATTAAACCAATTTAGATATAGACATGTAAACAAATATTGGAATTCTTTAAATCGAAACGTTTTACGTGAATTTTTTTAACCAAGGGATCATTCTTTAGTTATGTACGACAAATTGAATATTCGGGAAATTAAGATTTTGGCGAATTAAACTTAAATGATTTACAAAATATTTAATAGATATTAGAGAAATTGCGATTTTTTGCGAAGTAAATTGGCGAATTAAACTTAAATGATTTATACAATATTTAATAGATGGTTCAGCAATCCCGAGGAGGTTGTTTAGTGCCGGGCTGCACCAAAGAAATGAGAAGCAAGGAACCTTTGCTCTCATATCACAGGTTACATAACAAATAAATTCAACAAATGCATTTACGGCTACTATATCATAGTTTTTTAACAGATTTCCGCAAAAGAAAATTCACACAAATGTTTGTAAACGGTGGATTGAGGTTCTTCATCCAATTCTTCCTCCCGATTTTATGTAATCCGATCTCGAAAAGCATACAATATGTTCCCGACACTTCAAGTCGACGGATTTTCTTATGGGGGAGATGAGAAGATCACAGCTCTTACCAACAGCAATCCCTACCGAACATCTTGACGCCACTTCACCTGTGAAGGACCCGCCAATTGATGTACGAATAGCTTGCAACATGTCACTTCAGGGAAGCCTAAAAGGTAATATCAAATTTATGGTTCAAGGCGGCAGAGATATAATTGTTTGATTTTGTAGATACCCGAATAGCTGAAAGTGGGGCACGGTTGGAAATCACGTGTCGGCTTTTGATAGAGGGCGGCCACAGAGAAATCCTTTGTGGTTCTTCTACTTGTGTCGTTACTCAAGGTATTTCATTTCTAAAAACTTTGGGGATCATCTATTTATGTTCTTCATATTTTCCAGACGGAAAGTTTCAAAGTGACTGTGATCTCCTTCCCTGCCCGCTACCCGTCGCTTCGAATGCTACCAGTTTCAAAGCCCTAACTCCTTTCTCTATCAATCGAGCACGTGAGGAGCATAATTACTCAAAACGTCCAACTGAATCTATTAAAGTCGTTCAGGCGCGTCAACAATTACTTGCAAAGCGTCTACGGAATGCCAAACTGTCTCTCCTTCGCCGGCGGAGATCAGTGAAGAAATTGAAAGTAAACCTAGCAACAAAATTGAGTGAGTGCAAGAAGCTTAGTGCCAATCAGTTTCAAATTCGTATGTACTTATTTCCTTGTCTAGGATCCCATAATTTGTTTTACGACATGAAGGAAAAGGAATTTCACGGCACCCTAATAATTAAGAAAATCGTTAAGACGTATATTAGGACCAGATTGTATCATGCTGGCAAAGATTACCGAATTTCTCTTGGGATATCTAGCCGGCATGGGTTAAGCAAATTCTTTTTAACGGAGATTGATTTTGATGTATTTAGAGGGTAGATTATACATATGTAAATATTTTTGAGCTAAGCGTGTAACTAAAAATTCACTAATTATTTAAAGACTGTTAACAACATTTTGTCAATAAAATAAAATTGTTTGGTTAATATGTTTACTTAGCTTGTGAGCCTGGTGCTGGGAGCATTATTGTTTTATGTAGTCCGGGGCTCATAAGAATAATTTAAGATTTAAGAATTTATTTATTTAGTGAAGAACCTAATATTAATTACTTACTATCTTTACGGTCATGTTGAAATTTGATTGTCTCGTACACTTGTTGGTAATAAATATCAAATGTTTCCTTCACATCTGAGTGCTGACTGTGTATTGGTAATAAATATCAAACGTTTCTTTTAAATCTGAGTGCTGACTGTGTATTGTTAATAAATATCAAATGTTTCCTTCACATCTGAGTGCTGACTGTGTATTTCTAGTTGCATATCGATTTAATTGTGCATAAGAGTATTATAATTGTTTGTAGCATGCCTATTCCCAACTGGAAAATGGAGATTATTGAGGAGATATTCGGCCTGTTTGACCCCTGCCTTATAGACTCAATTGTAAACAAAATTTTAATTTTAATTCAAAGTTGAAATTTATATGTAAACATTTTTAACATAATTTTCTTTTTATATTTCAGATTCTATCACATCGTCAAGAACAAATTTGGTTGAGCTTTCTGCCTATCGATGCCCGCTTCGGGTTGAGGGGCAGCTTCGGTCGCCGAGGCATGGCCCAGAGGCAGCTTTACCTCCGGGTCGGAAAGTTAAAAAAATTTTTGCTGTCCTATGGTATCACAGGAAAATTTTTTGAATAAAGTTTGACGAAAAATCAGTCCAAGATATAAATTTCAAAAATTTTGGTACATCAAATTCATCCATCAAATACTACTAATAACTCATGTAAAAAAAAGTGTCCGCAGTCTCACTTCACCCCAACCATGTCTACGGCAACCCAGGAACGCATAATTTAACTGCATTTCATGTATAGTCCTATTTTAGCAAAAATCTCACTTTGCCCCAGACCACACCCCCAGTGCGGATGGGGTGTGACCCAACGCGAGAACACATAAGTTCACCACATTTCATCTATAGATTCAATTTTAGCAAAAATCTCACTTTGCCCCAGACCACACCCATCCTGCACACACGGACAAACAGACAGACAAAGGGTTCCCATAAAGTAGCTGGAGTACTTAATATATAATTTAGCGCAACTAAATCTCACTGCAATGCAAAAGGTATATGTTCAAATTGTATACGTTTTCTTTGCACAGCCCCCATGTTTCTCATATCTGTCTCATCTCTCATTTCTTTCACCTCATTACTTCACCACATCCATCCACCCACATATCTGCCATCTCGCACCAGCAAGTGCGTTATTAGTGTGGTTCTCTCCGTCGCAAGATATCGTGGTGTCCAGCTCAATGACTAAACCAGCCCATTTCGTGCCAATATAATCTAATCGATGTGATGCAGTCAATTCGTAACTTTTGCTATATGTCTCACTATGATCAAAGTCGTGCCATGCAAATTATGTACACATGTACCTGAGCCAGAAATCAAGCAATGCCCATTCATATTTAAGGTAAGATAGATACATATCCATACAATGAGTTTTTTTCCTCGATCTAACGATTTTAATGTATCATGGTCTAAAATTTCGGTGTTTTTACATGAAGAACCGGTAATAAGTAATATTGGGGTGGCCCGCCTACATTTTTCGAAATCTGAGCCAAAATGTGCAAATTTTTGGCAAATTTTGAGTTTTTTTCTCATAATCGTTTAAATTTATGCCACATTTAGCTGACATTATATATGTCACAATATTTGTAGTAATTTGTAGTAAAGTATTATACGCTATGCCACATTCATTTTTACAAGACCAATGCAAACAATTTTCTGTTTTTCTTTAGACGAGAAAAAGTCCAGAATGCTTCGTTGTTTGGAAACAGAAAGACGCAGGACTTGTGCATGCAAGTGCATGTTACATATGTACATAGTGATGATTGCTAGAGAAATTTGAGACTTTTAAGATGGAGAGGAAAATGAGACTCGCAGTCGCAATTAAGTGATGCTGTCATTGCTTCGTTTCTGCTATCTGTTTCACGACAGTGGTTGGAAATGATAATGCCCGTTTTATCTTATCAGTACTGATAAGGCTTGCCCACCTAGGTTGCTTCAGCCTACCTTGTTGTGCGAAGACCGTAGGAGTCACATGACACGTATCTTTCCTTTGAATGGCCGCCTTGAAGAAAATTATATTTGAAAATTATATTGAAGTTCACATGTCAGCCTTGGTTATCGCCCGTGGACAAAAAGCGAGGGAAAATTTACTAAGAAATTGAACATGAGCAGCAATATTTTTCTTCAAAATGACCATTCAAAAGGAAGATAAGTGTCAGAAGTAGCGTAGGTATTGCCAAATATCACCAAATTTTTTAGTGTAGTACGCAATTCTTAAATATTTTCATATTCTTAAAGGAAAGCTTGTAATACATATACGAAACGCCATTATTATTCCCATGTAAAATCGATGGTAAATTATAAGTCTGGAACCTTCATCACTTATTCATTAGTATTTATGTGCATGTCCATTAATTAAATTCCTCTAATTACAGGAAAAGGTTATAGATCGATGGATAAATGAATGTATCTTACCAACCCATTATTTTTAATTATCTATGAATTTCGATCCCAATTGCTACGCAAATATTTTCCGTGCAACATTAAGGTTGAACCGTTAATGAAATACAAATGTACATATACATATAACACTAATTCAAAATTGTCAAAATTGTTCAACAAAAATACGATCAAAAAACGTGGAAAGACCAAAAATATTTTTGAGTTATCAAAAATACTAAACAACAAAAAATTGAGCTTATACAGTAGCGACAAATTTTCATATCTGGAAAGGCCATATTCAGAGTGTTACCAAAACTTGTGCAGATTTGCAAAATATTGCAAAGCTTCGTTTCCATAAAACGATAGAATTTGTGTTCCTATTCACATACAAAAGGCGTTAGGTGATGGTTTTGACGAATTCGCGGGTGAATATCTCTGGCAGGGAGTAGAATTTTGAAGTGATTTTTGGTAGACTGCAAGATAATACTCTCAAAAAGGTATTTCCAAAATTTTAAGGTGATAGCTTCAAAAATGACACCTCCAGTGTCCTCAGAGTTGGAGGGTGCCGTAAAAACACTTTCCAAACTTAAGTACTCGTATAGCATAATAACCTAAGAGGTCAGAGGTGAATTATTCTTAATATTATAACCCTAGATAATCATTGCATGTCATAATAAAAGAATCCACAATAAATTACATAACGTTGGCCTTCCATTGTCAATGAAATTTTTCCATGAAAAGTGATAAATCGGACCGTGCACGGGAAAATTGACCTGCTGACCTTGAATGCAGACCCACTGGGTCAAATGAAGATTGAGGGTAAAGCTGGAAGTGTCCTGAGTAATATTAAACAAAATAGTTAAGATTTTGAGTAAACAGTCTTGGAGAAGGACCCAAGCTAATCAGCTGACGGGGAATCATAAAAAACTCGTAAACTAATTTGGAAAATTAATGGTCAAATTTTGTTGAAAATAAATTTTAATAACGTTTTTGTGTCCCCTGCTACAGAACTATTTTGCCTACAAGGTACAAGTGACAAAATAATAAAATTACCAAGTTTTGGTTAGTTAAATTATTTTTGAAGTTCAACCTTGATGACGACGGAAACTTTTCCAAAAATTTTATTGGGTTTGATGAAAACTCATTTCGTGGGGTGTAACCACTTATCAAAATTTAATCAAAAATATTTACAGTGCAATATACTATATGTACCTTGGATAAAAACAACGTTAGGGATTTTTAGAATCAAAGTCCTAAAATGTGGGGGCCTTAAAAGTCGAGGAGTTGCGTTAACGAGAGCATTCCATTAGAACAAGTATGAAGCTAGACTACAAAAGTGACTTAAAAGATAAGCAAGAGACAAAAATGGTTTTATATAGTGAAAAGTATGCTAAGTCTCTTGATAATACTCGCAAAGACGATTTTTGCATCAGGACCTAAGAAAAAAATCTTTTGTTCAACGCCATTTTATAAGAACACTGGTTTGGAAAACTAAAAAAGGACACCTCTCTATATTTGACCTTCCCTCATTTCGCAGAGTACACAAAACCGGAAGCCAGACATGTTTACCTATAGTTTGAGACACGGGCTTTCACATAAAAAATGTTAGAAATCTCTACAACTAAAAACCATCCCGCAATTAAAATATGAATTCGTCAAAACCATGTCCTAACGCCTTTTGTATGTAAATGATTTACGTTCTTATATACTTCACAAGGGTAGCTCGGAACAACAAGCTGAATGAATTGTGTCACAAAGTAAGACAGCCAATCTAAGAATTTAATTGCATTCCGAGAGTAATTAACATTATGTAGAGTAATCGATTAATCCCGGAATTTCCTTAATTATTATGTTTTCCTCGGCACAACATTTTCCACCCAGTTGCGACTCATTCCTTCCCATTGAGAGAAGAGTGTCACCCAATTCAGGCAACAAATATTTAATAAGCACGACGGATCTTGCATAAAGAGTGCGAACTGTTTAGAATAAATTAAGTATTCAAGAATTGATAAGTCATAAATAATCTTCATTCTTTTGCGTGTATAATTAATTATTTATTATTTATGTAATTATTTATTTAATTATTTATTTAATTGAAAATTTCCTACATGAGCAGTACAATTTTAAATTGATCACATTTTATTCTGCATGGTCCTTCAACAAACGGGTCCCGCAATAAAAATACCCCTTCGTATTTTTAATGTTTTTTCAATCATCCAAATTTGGTAACTGTAACCTCGTCGTCATGGATGTCGAACTCACACCACTGGAACGACTTGGAGTTAAAAGAACGTGGGAAATTGCAAGGAAAAACTTGACAGAGACTGGAATCAAAGTCATGCTGGCGTGAGTTGAGCAAATTTTGTAAATCTTAAATTTGAAGGAAAATTTTTTAACGCAGTATTTTAACAATTGCGAAAGTTCGAGTTGGAAACCGAAAATTGAAATCTATCCGAATCGAATTCGAATACTTGAGTTAAAAATCTTCATGCGAACCGAATCCGAATTTTTCTTGTAGAAATATATCCACCCGAACCGAAGACGTATTTTGTGGTTAAAAAATATCTATCCGAACCGGAGCCAATTTTTTAACCGAAAAATTATCACATACACACCACCCGAATTTTTCATTTAATAGGAAATATACAGCCGAACTGAATCCAAACTTTTCCGTTAAAAAACATTCGAACCTAATAATTAGGTTTCGGTTCGGATGGAGACTTTATCTGAATTTCGAACAACCGATTTAACTCTGGTTTGAGTATTTGTAAATATTACAATAAAATTGGCAAATTTAACAGATTTAATTCTAATTTGCACAGATTTTTTAAGCATGATCCCCAAAAGCTCACCATTTTCAAACGGTTCAACTCCTGTCCTTTGGATAAGCTCAAGTCAAACAAGGCCTTCCTGGCGCAGGCTGTTCTTGTCATGTCCGCCTTTGACGATATCATTTCCTCCATCGATAACCCGGCCAAAATGCAGCACAAGATGGTTCAGCTCGGCAGGTATCACAGGGTTATCAAAGTTCCGGCCAAGCTGCAGGATTTTCTGGTAAGCTTTTAAGGTTGAATAACTCCGTTGTACATTTTAAATCTCACTACCCCTAAAATAGAAACATCTAAAATATCACACATTTCATGAATTTTCTGATGCAAATTAATTATTGACAAACCCAAACAGCAAAATAAAACTATATGCAGATTTAGAGAAAATTGTTACCAAAAGTATTTTCCATTTATGAAAATAAATTTCCTCAAAATGAATTCGCTATTTTTCAAAAATAAGTTTACCTTAAAATTATTGCATTCATCGCAAACCTCATGAAATTGATTAAATCCTGGATAGTCTGGGATTCGGAATATGTTCGAAAACTCGTTTAAAAACATGTCCAGGAAATTGATTGTCATCAGAAATTATGAATTTTTTACTTCGCATATGCAAAAATATTTCACGAAACAACACTTCGATGCTCATAAATTAAGAATTACATACCTAAAGAGGTAGCAGAAACCTTTTTAAGTATTAAAAAAATATATTTCATTTGGTTAACTATTCAGAAAGTTGATACATGTTTTTCATAATTTCAGGACTTCAACCAAGTCTTGATGACCTTATTTCCCAAGATGATGTTGGCCGAATGGAATTCTGATGCTGAGCTGGGTTGGAACAAGGTCCTGGCCATGCTCCAAATGAACGTATCGCTTGGACTGGGTAATTGTTGAAGAAAGCGTGGTCACATGAGAGGAGGAATTCTTATCAGATTTACCACACACATATATAATTATAAAATAAATATGATAATATAATAATTATGTACATATTTGTAAACTGACACATTTTTGTCTCGTCTAAATAAACACTCTTAAAAAATTGTTACTCATATGTCAAAACCGTTCAAACAAATAAACATGGGTAAGAATATTTATATTTCATTGCATAAACTTCCAGTCTAAAATATTAAAAGGATACAGGGTGATTAACCTCTCTGTCCACATAACCCCAAAGTAATGACATATGTGATGACCTGCCCTGGCAAGCACTAACTAACTAATGTTGAGCCACACGCATTTCACTGGAAAACTGAGAAATGCACACACCAGTGAATCCACAGTTCAACACATTTCTCTGAACAACCCGTCATAAGTTTGCTACCATGTTGAGATGTACATATATAAGTAGGCACAAAAAGGTTAAAATCTCAAACTGGATAAACTACCTGCTTTGCCAACCACGAATATTTAACCGTTCTCACTTCACAGAAAAACTGAGGAACCTTTAGCTAAATATTTAACTTCAGAAAACTTTAACCTTTTCCATGCTATCAGCTACGTACATAATCCTTTTCAGACCCTTTTTTAATACGCATGTACGTATCTTAAGAAAAATGCAGGTTTGCCAGCACTTTTAAAACTCCGTTTAAAAATATTTTTAAAAATCCGGTTCAGTGTAATGTTGAAGTCAGTTCGCCAAAACTGTTGACCAGAACAAGTCGTACAATTTTAATTGCAAAATTTTTAGTATTTACGTATTTAAACTACACAAATCATGTGCCGCCGAACTAACCGGAAGCGACAGGTTAGTATAAAAATTGTAAATTACTAAAATCATTATTTCCCACCTTAACAATAAATACCTTCGTTTCTTAAACAATTAATTTCGTTTCGACCTCTTCGAGCGTATGGTCACCGATTTTGAGCAAATTAATATCAATCAATTACAAACTTAATTAATATAAAATGTGTAATCGAGTCGCCATCTCGCAATTCTTAAATTTGTCAGGGATATTTGCATACAAGGAGGAAGAAATTGGCCATAAAGTTGATGAAGTTTACACTTTCTGATAGGTTTCGGAAGCAAATATTTTTGCGAAACGTGCCCCTTGGGAGATCGTGTCTTTTGCAAATTTTATGCTAATTAAAATTGTGATCGATTGACAGCACATAATATTATCCAAAGCGGAGAGCATGCGCTGGGCAAGCTCCATTATTAGTTTAGTACTTTGTTAGACATTTTCTAATTTAATTTGCAATTATAATTCCAATTCAACAGATTGCCGCCAGAAAAGCATCCCTAATCAGAGCCGAGATGGAGGAAGAAATGGATCAGATTGATCTGCTCTTTTTGCAGAATCTTTTGCAAGAATTGCTAGCTCTGCAAATGGGTAAGTCAAATCGTTTTATATTTCAATTTTTCTGATAACCGTCCTTGGAAGGAAGTCATTTTTATTTGCAACCTCGTAGTCGTGGACACTGGGTTTTGTGCCTTTTGGGGTTTTTGTGGGTTTTTTTTTGGGATATTTGTAGGATCCGTGACCAGATTAAAACAAAAATCTTTTAAAAACTATCATCTATACTGTTAGAAATCTCGTATAGTCACGTATGTAGGTATTGATTTGTTGGTATAAAAGTTGCTACCGCACGGTATTAAAATTATTTTTACCAGTCCCCAAAAATTTTCTAACGACACCCGTTTTCTATTAAGAAATTTATAAAATTCAGAAATCTTCGCAATCACACCCTCCATTCACGGTATTTAAGTAATTTCAAATTTTTACAGACTATCAAGTGCGGTTATTAACCACTGCGAAGCGAGCGCAAGAGTGGTACAATAATTTGCTGACTACTACAACTGATCCCGGCGAAAGGACCATCGCAGAACGCGGAGGAGAAGAAACTCGTGTCATGATCCTGGATTTATTGCATGAATCCCATGTGGCTCAAAATTTTGAACAGGTAGGAATATTTATTTACATATTATGAATTTCGGTATTTTGCACGTGCAAGGAAACCATTGTACCAGTAAAAGTTCAGATAAATAGTTTCTCCTAATATTTCTCCAGTTTATACAAATATATTTTAGTGTTTCTGCTGTTAAAAAAAACTGCACGAAATTAGTGTACAAATATATTTTTTAACAACCCACCAAAATCTGGAATATGTCATGAAAATTCATGAAAATCGTTTACGTGTAACTAATAGGGATTCCCAACTTTGTAAAAAAATCTCGCTCTTTTCTCAATCTCGCATGCGATTTCGTTCTTTCTCACTCTTTTGGTCCAAAAATAAAATTATCTTAACCTTCATTTTGTTTTTATGCAAAAATATTGGAAAAAATTTCGAAATCCCACGCGGAATTGAGAAAAAAGCGTTTTGTGAAAGAGTGAAAAAAGCGAGAGTGAAAAAAAGAGATTTTTTACAAAGTTGGAATTCCTTAATATTGAAATTTTTCAAATTATTTGAGCGACTAACAACCCGTACATATCGTTACATTATGCTTTTTTTCTCATGAATTTTCACCCTGATGAATGTTTAGATTAGTGAATTTTGAAATGTTAAATTTTTTCAAAATATAAAATTCCCTACATGATGTGCATTTCCTGAATTTGTATCCATCTTCGTGCATTTTATGCAGTTTTATGCAGTATGCACACAAAAATAATGCGTATGTACACTTACATATTCACAAAAGTTAACACAGATTTGTTTATTATTGTAAAATTTGGTTGATTTCTCACTCTTAAAATTTTTGAAGTACATTTGTTTCAATAATGATTTTATTTATTTTAATTTCAGAAACTTGACGATTTGCTTTCCACCCGAAATGTCCCAGAGGTTGTGGAGTTATCAAAATGGGAGTGGTTTGAAACTTTGGTGAAAATTTACAAAATTTCGGCCAGATTTCATACCTTGGTTATCCACATTTACGACAAAGATGTAAGTAAAATTTGCATATTTAGAATGAAATAACGAAATCATCGCACCCCTGTAATTTATATGTATGCATGTGTGATAGCTTACAAATTTAGTAATTTGCTAATATTACCCAAAATGTGCAATTGTTTGAAAAATCTTGCGAAATTTTCTTTTTAACCAAAAGTTTTCCAAATTTGGCCAAATATTATTGGAAACAATTCCTAACATAATCTGAGATTACCACAATCCAACATATTTCTAAATATATTTAGTTTCATGAGTCTTAAGCTAAATAAATTTTTGCCTAAAGGAATTTTTTTGTAGTACAAAACTACTATATCAAAAAATTAGCGAGTCCATTTTAGAATGAATTTTCTATGAATAATCAGCGAATGAATTATCATTTTTCTTCAAATCGACAGCTTTCGTATTTATGTAGTACCCAAAAATTAACTTCACATTAAAGCATCAAAAATAGAATTTCCTTTAAAACCAATGAAATTAATGCCATTTTAGAAACTTTATTTTAAATTCTTTCAATTGAAATAAGATTAAAAATCCATGCTTCAACAAATCATTTTCCAATTTTACCTGAAGGCAAACTTTAATCTTTTAATTTTGTAAATCCAAATTTCTGTTTATTTACATAAAATTTTCCTAATTTGCATAAAATGTTTATTTTTGTCCTTCACAGGACGACCAGTGTTCCCAACTAGCCAACCAATTATCCACTCTCGCTGCTCGTGACGACAATAATAGAGTCCAATTTCTGAAAATACGATCCCGCCCTGATAACACTGCCACCGCCACGCCACGTGCCCCAGGCGTCATGGCGTTCAGTTTTGGAAACTGTTTCGCCACTTTGAGCAAACCTTATGCCGAAATTCACCAGTTTTTTGACAAAATTGGGGTTCATCACGAATAACTACATACATACATATTTACATATTTCAGTTTAATTTACATATTTTGCTATCGATAACCTTGGAGTAGCTAAATTGCATTAAAGAATGAAAATTCAGAACTCGCCATTTTAGTTTTTAGACAAATGACACTCAATTTTAAACTTCGTAAAATTTTCGATGTGAAACAAATTAGCGAGAATATTTTTTTAGAATTTTATTACAAAAAAGAATAATAATTTTTTTTTAGTTTGAATCAAGCGTAGGTATATAGAACCAAAAACTAAGTTTACATTAACAAACCAAAAACAAAATTTATCACGATTTGTATAGCATTTTAGAAAGTTACTTCTAAAGAACTTAAGGGATTAATCTTTAAGATCAATGACTACGTACTAAGTCTCTCACCTAAAATAATTAACTCGAATATGATTATTTATAAACCATGTACATAATTTACATTGAAATAAAAACAAAATTTGAACAAAAATGGTTTAATTTTTTAAGCTGCCAGTAGTAACATTTAAAGTTTGCTAACCGGTATGCATAAGATGTAGAAAAATTGGTTTAAAATCACAAAACTGAAAAACTACCTGCTTTGCATTCTAAATAATTTGGTGATCTATAAATACTCTGGGACAGCATAGACCTACCCGACCAATACTGTACATACATAAGCCTGGCTCGAATATTGGTGGTTGGCAAACTCTAAATAATTTGGAGACAACTCGAAGAGGTACTGGATATATGTATGTAGTTCCTCATTTTTTGGATAATGATTAAACAGAAGTTTCGTCACAAACGGGAAATATGGATGAATCTGAATTCTTAAGTACTAAGATTATTGGTTCAATATGGTTCTGGTATTCCAGTAACTAAACAAAATTCCAGATATTGAAATTGTACCATCAGTTAGCACAGCATACTGTGCAAGGTTACGAGCAGGATTTTTTCGCCAACAATAAAATGAAAATTATATTAAACTTAAATTAATATCCTCAAGTTTTTGTCGAATTCTTTGTTTGCCCCCTCCATTTAAATATTTGTAAATGGAATAAGTTTACCTGAAATACATAATTAGATGAAAAAGGCTGGACCTCGATTGTAAACCTGCTTCTCAGAAAGTGAGGTAGAGGTACCTTTAACTACTTAATTTAGGAAAATGTTGACCTTTTGTATGCTTCAACTTACACCTTTTGGACCTTTTTTTCTATTATTATTCTCGCCAACCTCAGAGTGTGAAGTTAGCTTACATTTTTTGTGAGGCTCACACCCTTTAAAATATTTATAGTTCATTCACTCGCTGATGTCATTTCAGTTCATCGAACGACTTGACCAGAACAAGACGTATGCATTTAGATTAAATTTTACAATAAATTCCACAATCATGTGCCACAACAACAGGCCGAGAAAGGTTAGAAGTTTTCTAAATTAACTAAATTATCCTCTTCCACTCTAACAAAAAAAACAGCTATTTACATATTTAAGGACTAGATTTATTTATCTAATAAATAGTTTCTTAATATTATTTAATTTTCAATTCTGATTCTACATACAGCGCATCATCAAAAAACTATCTGTCGGCACGGTGCAAACACAGCTGGATGGAGTTGAGCTGCTCTATTTGCGGAGGCATGCACAGGAATTGCTTGTTCTTCACATGAGTAAGTATTTTTTTCAATGGATTTTAATCTGTTTTATCGTTAAGTTATTAGGGTAACGTGGGTTCTTAACAAATTAAATCAATTACATGAAAAATGTATGCACCTTAATTTTAGTGATGTTGAGTATGGGAACGTTCATGTATTACGTCCTAAAAAACCCTTATTTTCTGACAATTCCCTCCCTATCCTAATCATGTTAGGCTTTACGCAAGAAAGATAGGCTACCCAATCCCATCCATCCACTTTTTTACAACGTAATATACGGGCGATCCCTACATACGCGCACATTAACAACGAACATCACTAAAAGTCTGGTACTTTAGAGTCACACATGCATAAATATATTTACACTGATTTGGTAATACATAGATAACTTTTGCTAAACAGCATAAAAATCCTTTGACTTGCCACCTTTTTAATGTCGTACTACATGGACGCCCCTAAATCTTATAAAGTCATGTACAAGATAAGAACTGTCACTACCGAGGTTGAATCGGTAAAACGTGAACGTTTTTGACCTTAAATTACTGGTTGAACGGCTTGGAGTGGAGGTCCCGAACCTTTTTATGTGAAAGCCCTTTTCTCGAGCTACAAGTCGGTATCGGCGATTTCAACTTTCGTACACTGATTTGACCATGGCGAGGTCAAGTTTAGACCACTCGTCTCTCAAAACTTTCCAAACTCCGTCAAAAGTTTTTGGGTGGCGGAGAAAAGATTTTATTTCAGATATCCAAAGCCGAAAAAATTCTTGGGACTTACATAGAGTGACTTAATAGGTATTGCACTATTTTGGATGATTGTTATCCCGAGTGTAGTGTTTAAGTCCTTAGCGTAATCCTGGGTCAAAAGGGCGGTGTGCGATGACGCTGCGTCGTGATGAACTATCACTTTTTTTGTGTCCTAGCCATATAGTTTTCGAAGATGAATCTCCAAAAGCGGTTTTAAAACAAAGTCAATGAAGTACTTCACAGTTACCTTCACTTTTTTTGGAACTTTGATAAGTGGGAGGAGACCACGACCATATAATGCACCTACCACCATGAACTTGTTGCAAAACTTTTCCGTGTGCGGGATGGCCAATCTTCTGGAATTATTTTCTTCTTTGGTTGTATAGTAAATTTTTCTCTGACCGTTGGTATCTTTAAAGAAAATAACTCTTCATCCAACAACACTAAAAAGTCACTTTTATCTTTTGTTAGGTAATTAATATAAAATTTTTTGCAGGTCAAACGACGATGTTTTTATGCTTCTCGAGTCAGCTGATGGACTCGGATTTTTCTTCGTTTTTGCCTCCACAAAATATTAATTGCCCGTCGCAAACTAGTCTCTGACACTTTAGTTAGACGTGCCACTGCTCTCTGGGGTGGTGGATTGTCCTTAGAGGTCAATAGGTCAATTTTCTTAAGCACGAGCCGAATTAGCATTTTTCGGACTCGTGTTTGAGGCATGATGGTTGTCCTTTGGTACGAGCTTGTCGTTATTGACCTTCATTTTTAAGTCCCTTATGTATCTGGCCTTTCGAAACTCGTTGTCCTTGAGTTTTGAAGTGGTTAATTATGTATGTGTACGAAGAATTAAGTTTGGAAAGTGTTTTTATGGTACCCTCTTACTCTAAGGTCAATGGTCGGGTCATTTTTGAATCTAGAGAGCTAATTTTTTGCTCAGCCCTTGTCAACAATCACATGCCGTTATGCTCAAAATTTGAAACCGAAACTCCGACCCGTTTCGGAGCAATTCAAGATTGACCGCGTTCACGTGTTACCGACTCATCCTGTATTTTTGTAGAGGATCTACTGCAGCGATTAACGGAATCAACCAAAGAACAAGAACGCTACTATAATTTGTTTAAGACTACGACGGATTCCAGCGAAAGGATCGCAGCAGATGACAAATATAAGAAAACTGTTCGTATAATCCACGACTTGTTTGGTGCTTCGCAACTGACCGAAAATTATCACAAAGTATGTACTATATGTATTTAGGAATATTATGCAAATAAGAGTTTATATACATGATCTCTTAAGAATTACGCTTAAGAATTACCTTTTTGAATGGTAAATGCACTTTTAAGTAATTCTATATGAAGTAAGCTCAGCTAAATGCTGCGTAAACTTTGCATTATCAAGTTAACGTTATACTCCAGATTTTGTATAGTTTAATTACATGAGACTGCAGAATACTTATTGTTAATACGGAATTGCATTTACATATTCACTTTTCAGAAGGGTGACACTACACTCACAGAAAAAACGACACCGAATTGACACCATGCCGGTGTCTATATATGACTCTACCGGTTTGGTGTCAAATCGACATAACGTGGTGTCAATTATGTTGCACACCGTCGCGGTGTCGACCCAACATACCGTTGTAACAATGCCAACACCGCGAACGGATTAGAGGTTGTGCTCAGTTATGTTGCTTTGAGACTACTAGGTAACGATATATGTGCATTTTAATATATGTATGTCACCAGCCGGTGGCAAATCGTCCCCGGATTGTGACAACTGAAATATGACTTTTAGCAACAAATATTTTATTTTACATTTAAAAATATTAAGCACTTAAAAAATTAAACAAGTATTTCAAACATATTCACAAGTAACAAGTTATTGTACTCGCACAAATTAAATAATATTTTTTTTCTTCATACCGTATGTACTTTTATAGATAAAAGATTACATTTATCTAACACGGTGATCTAAAATATGCGTAAATCTTAAAATTCAATGAGCTTGGCAACAAGAGATTTAATCATAATTAAATAGGCTGTCGGGTGGACAAATCCTTACTCGTCGGTTCCCTCGTTGGGTTCAGCGTTGAGTTTTAGCTTGCTGGAAACAATAAGTTTTCAAAATAAAAATACACACAGTAAAATAATGTTAATTAAATGAGGGAAAATTAATATATGTTACAGATTTTAACTCACCTAAAGTCAAGAAAGTGGTAGTAGTTCTTAAACGTTTTAAAAAAACAATTTTTTCGAAATTAATTGAACACACCAATTAATTTATCCACTTTGTTGATGTTTTTGTGGAGAAGAAGGACAATGGCCGCCAAGCAGAACCGAGCACACAAGGAAAAGACTGACACAATTTTGTGTTAAGCCCAAGTCTTGCTTACTGCGGTAACATCGCATCGTGTCAATTCGATACCATTGCCGGAATATCGCTGAAACCGGTACCGTGTCAACGCGTTTTTTTCGCTCGGTGTCACTTTTACACAACGGTTTGACACTATTTAGTGGAGTTGAGGTTGACACCGAGGGTTGGTGTCAACAAAATTCTTGGTTTTGTTACCAAGTTGCTAAGAGTGTATTTTCCAGTGTGTAGTTTCTTACAATTTTGCAAGTATTGTTTTAAAATTGGGTTTACATGTTTCATTTTCTGAAGATTTTTGGCGCACTTAATATTTTAAATTTCAGAAACTTTTTGATCTGGTTACGAACAAAAATATTCCGGAGGTCGTAGAAGTACCAAAATGGGAATTGTTTACCAATCTGGCAAAAATATGCAAAATTTCGGCCCGATTTCGACCCTTAATTATCCACATTTACGAGAAAGATGTAAGTGAAATTTTTGCTTAAATGGTTAAACCACGTTTCCAAGAAATTATGAGGTTGGAAACTTTGAAATTTTAATTTTTTGTACTGCACGTATATAAATTGGAATCCTTGTCATAATTTTTATCTCACTTTACCCCTATTCAATATCTTTAATTACTAATTCCAAAAGTAGCATCAAGTTCATTGATTTTCAGATAAATATGCCATTTGTTATAATTTAATATAAAATTAATTTTTGGAAATAGAAAAAGATTATTAAATCATCTGGCATGGCGAATGTATGTCCTTAAGATTTTTCTAATCATACGGACATTGTCCTTAGGACAATCCTAGATTATTAATTTGTTTAGAAAATTTACTGTCAAAATTTACTGTCAAACCATTTAACATTTTTTTTCAAATCTATAATTTTGTAGCCCAAGACATTAACTTCATATTAAAAAATGCAAAGTTTCATTTATCTGAAAATTATGCAAGATTAGAAATTTATATCTAAAGCCAGATTGAGATAAAAAATACCTAATATTTATCATATCCAACTTTTAAAAAACCTTTGATGGTTATTTCCTTAATTTTCATAGGACGACACGTGTTCTCAACTTTCGAACCAATTGTCCACTCTCGCCGCACGTGAAGACAATAATGGCGTTCAATTTCTGAAAATCCTGTCGACCGGTGGGAACACTACGGACGCTACGGATGTCCCTGCCCTCATGGCGTTCAAGGATGGCATGTGCTTCGCCACTTTGCTCAAACCTTATTCTGCCATTCAACAGTTTTTCGACAGAATCGGGGTTCATCACGAATAAGGTTTAATTCGGAAATTCTTACGTTTAGATAAATTCGATCAAATTTTTCACGTTTTTACCTTGCTCGATTTAAATTATTTTAATTAGGGTGCACACAATAATTAAATAATCCCTTCTATATGTATGTGTACCTGTACAAAAAACATTGCCTCCTTCAAAATTCGTTCGTTTTAAAAATTGTATAAAATTATTCACTCATTATTCACTAATGCATAATTTTAAAAAATTATATTTTTGGTCATTATTTATTTTCTATTCACTTCTCAATCTCAAGTTCGCTTAATTGTATCAATTTTTAAATTTAGTCCATACGGCAGTTTTAAAACTTTTTACGGGATTGGTTGACTCTGTGATTTCTATGCTCGTTATATCTAACAATGAAACCTTTCTACAACAATAACCTCAGAGGTAAATTAGAAAGCGGAGACGTGAACCCTGATTAGTTTCGAATGGTGCAAATACGCGTTTAAAATCATTGCCATTTCTTGATTTCTGCAGAATTGCGAAAGTGCCAAACTAACAGTTATTATCGTTAAGTTACTTGATTTTTTAGCGATCATTTTAAGATGACCATGAGAAATGTGCATTCTCAGTATGCTAACGAGAAAATATTGACAAATTAATAGCAAGACAAGACTGTACTCGTTACGTTTAACTGAAATTATTTGATTATTATTGTATATTTATGGGGTGCTTAAGAAGTATCCGGAATTTGTAAATTCGCGCTCATAAAATAAAGTAACGAACTTATTGAAACGAAATTTTTATGGGAAATAGACAAGGGCCGAAACTAATTATTTTTGGCTTTCAATGGTTCCTACACCTCCTTCCGTCCAATCTGGAGGAGCGTTTGTCAGACGCTCCAAAATGTGCTTCGACACTGTTTTGATCTACCTTTTTTGCGATTCTTAACCACATTTGGCTAAATAAGTCCAAATTTTTGGCTGAAGTTTATCGAGTACAATATTTTTTCCGGGATAGAGACCAAACTTATTCAATAAGCCTTCTCTGGGTCAAATTTGGGAACGTTTCTTACTCATCCCATGTTAATTGCATTTGATCCGTTTACAGGCGAAGCGGGATATTTTGGCTTAGATTTGTTTTCCAGTTTTGCATAAACGGTTTTCTGGAAGGTAGGAGAGTTGTACTACGTGCAAATAAAATCATTTTAATAACCTGGGCAGTAAATCGTGTTGTACGAGACGACCAATTTTGATTACTTCAGGTCAAGTCTGTTTTCTGTCATCGTGCTTGCTCCATTAATTTTACCTTCCACTGTATATTTAAGCTTATAAAACCTTATAAGATTTGATGTACAACTTCTAAGCTTTAAAATAATGTATTATTCTAGGCAATAACTTCAAGTGCTTAATCGAATCTCGTTCCGACAGTGCAGATTTCTATTTGCACTAATCTTATCAGTTTGGGCGCTGCCACCCAAATGGTCCGACCAGATATTTTTTTGTGATTAGCAGTTTTTTGTAGCTCATATGTCAGTAGTGTATAACAAATTTTTGATTTTTGAATTAGTTGATTTTTAGAGTGGCTAGAGCTCAATTTCTTGGAGCGCTCAACCACTTTTTCGTGGTAGTGGCGGACAGCTTTTGCGAATTGCTCCATAGTTTTTGACCTCATTTGGGAACGGTAAGAGATATCGACTTCTGGTTTTCGAATTTTAGTAGAAGGATGCTTGTGCTACAGGTCCTCGGTCATTTCGAATGTGGGGCAAAATGATATCCCATAGATATATGCGCATGAAAAAATTCCGGATACTTCTTAAGCACCCCATATATTACAAAATTATATTTACATGTGTTATTGCGAATGTTTAGGGGTTACAAATTCTTAATTATGGGTTATACACATATTTGCAGGATAAATAGGACAAAATCCTTATCTTGTCTCAGTGGCGAAAGTCCATTATTTGGGGTCCTGAGGCAAATGCTAACAAATTTGTTTAAGAATATTTATTCCAGGTTAATGCGTTATGGTTGCATTTTTGCAACCATTTTTGATAAACTTTTTTAAGTTTCCAAATTCAACGAAATAGATTTTTTACAGAAGCAAATAATAAACTTTTAAAAATAATTGCTAAAAACAGGTTTTTTGCACCAAACGAGTTAAATAGATATATATGTGCAATTTTATAACTTTATTTTTATCAATTGACAAAAATTTGCCTTTGTATTAATTTTAAAAAAATACAAGAAAACTTGCAATGAGAATGTTTAAAACCAGTTAAATTCGTTGATCGGAAATTGATTTTGCTAATAAACTAACTACTTAAAAATTTGACATTAAATTAGCTACGTTGGGGGCCCATGATGTCGAGGTGTCCGTATTTAGTTGTTGCCCACCTTGTGCTATTGTCTTCTCCATTCTAAGAGGGAGTTGTGTAGTTATAACTACACAACTTAAGTATACTTAAGTAACAGGCCCGTAACCTATTTGCATTAATACTTTATATTAATACTCTATATTAATGCATTATGCTTTGGCATAATTACGATTATTACATTTCTTATATTTATGTACATACGAATGCCAAGTAATGTTCTAATTTTATTACTAGTTATGTTACCGTCAATCGTAACAAGATTTTCTGTTTTAAATCAAGCTTGATGTAAATAAATAAATACATAAAATTAATAAGTATTTATAA